ACCATGCATTTGTTAAAGACAAGACTTTGATGCAAAAATGGTGGACTCTGGTTGTCACATAACAGAGCATTCCACCTCACTTCCAAATAAAGCGACTGAAGGTTTTTGTCCTAATTTAATCCCAGTTCCCAGTACCTTCACCCCCACTCCCTCTACTCCTATTTTCACTCCAGTATCAACACCCAGTCCTATCTTTGCCTTGATAGGACCAGCAGAAGCTGAGGCACTTGCGATCTCTGCACTTGCCATTGCTGAAACTCCTGCTAGAGAGGCTGAAGCCCCAGCAGAGGCATTTGGCCCCTTCGCTTCAGCCTCAAACACACTGTACTCAGCCTTGGCACGCCCCACTCCAGCAGCTGCATACGCTCCAGCCTTGGGAAGACGCTCGCCTGCTTTGTCGATAAATCCAGGGGTCTCGTATGTCAATGCCTCAGTGTAGGTACCCTCAGCAGAGGCAGCCCCTTCTCTGTCATAGTAATTGATCATGTCTAGAACTCCATCTGCTGAGAAATCAACTGTGAAGACAGGACACTTTCAGTCACATTCAAAATAAAAATGAAAATACAATTTCTGAAAAATTTTAAATAATCAAATACCTTTACTATTAAGCAATGCCATCTTGGGTTCTGTTTTGTTCTTTGACATTCTTGTTGGAAGAACTTAGTCTCTCTCTACTAATAGCAACAGGACACCAAACTGATATTTAAGCACCAAGAGGACCTTCCCTCTTCCTGCCCCTAGAATGGAGTGGGTGGAGTCAGCGAAAAATTTTACAGCAACAGCTGCTGTGGACTTGTATCATGATTACAAGACAATTTATTGCCAAACAATGCTTTAAGTGTCTCGGGATTTCTTTCCAGAAAGTGCCATTTCTCGGGTTTGTTATTGATAAGTGTTTCAGTTTCATTTTCAAGTTGAGGAGAGCCTTCACCTAATTCATTCCATGTGGAGAGGATGTTTTCCTGTACATTTTATCACTTCTTTCCACCCACCCTGAGTACTGGACCATTCATTGTCCAAAAAGCTTTAAGTCTCTTGGGGCCACCAATTTCTCCAGTCCCACTTCTCAGATTGTTATGAATGTGTTTCCTTGTTTCACTGTGAAGTTGAGAACTTAAATTGTTGCTTATGCAACAATGCCATCTTATCCAATGTAATCTTCCTTTCTACATTCCTCTTAGTGAGTCTAATGTTATTTTTTAACTCAACCTGTAGACTTAGATTCTCCTGCTTTATTTTGAAATCATTAGTTATTTTTAATTTGTGGAACAGAGCCCTTTTCCTCCTGACTTTATTCTTAATTTCCGTGGTAAACTACCTTGGTTGCAGTTTCCTGGATATAGTTTTACTGGAAACAAGTATGAAATCCTCTTGCACTTGCAACAATGTGCTTTTCCCATGCCTCTTCAACGGTTTTGCTACTTAACTCCGTCCAGTTTACAGTTTCTAGTTTCAGTTTCATACCATTAAATTTAGCCTTCCTAACATTGTATATTTTTGTTTTGGACTTTGCTCTTTGGACACTAAAATTAACCTAAAATTTAACCATGTTATGATCACTACTGTCCAGTGGTTCTAAAACCGCTAGTTTTCCAATCCTATCCTGGTTATTAGAGAAAACAAGATCAAGAAGGGCTTCTCCCCTGGTAGGTGTATTAACAAGCTGAGTAAAAAAACAATCCTGTACCAATTCCACCATCTCAAGTTCGTTTACAGAAGAGCCACAGACTGTGTCCCACTGTATCCCAGATAATTTTTAATATTATTTGGGGCTTTCCGTCTCCCCTCACCTATATTCTTAACTAACCTCCCTGCCCCCCCCAGTCCCTAGTTTAAACATTCCTCCACCACTCTACACATACGCCTCCCCAATACACTGGTTCCCCCACGGAATGATGAAAACAGCGAGGAGGACAGGCGATCTGATCTAACAACACAGAGGGCATCAATCAAAGGGAACAATGTAGAGTGAGGGGAGCCTGAAAGTTTTGGACAAACAAGATTTCAGGGGATATTTGCAGACTGGGAGTTACAGACATCTGGGGGAAGGGGATTGCAGAGATGGGGAGTTACTCTAGAGAACAGTTCAGTAACCAAATCTGGAAGTTTAAACGGAGGGATAGTGAGGAGACCGAAGGAAGAATGTATAAGGGGCTGGTAGCGGAAATGTAAATCAGACAGATAGTGGGAGAGCAAGGCTGTTGATGTGTGGCTACGTGTCTGATTATAAGTGAGGTGTAGAATCTTGAAACGGATCCAGCATTTCACAGTTAGCCAATGTAAGCCATGGAGAACAGAAGGAATGTGATGGAGGGTTTGGCTGCTTATGAGAAAGTGAGTCCTGGACCAGTTGAAGTTTGTTGAGGGACCTGGAGCTGATGCCCATGAGAAAAAGCTGTAGATGAAGGCATTGATGTAGGAAATGGCAGCAAGCTGTGAGAGGCAGGGTCTGACTCAGCCAAAGTTGGTCCCGGTCGGTCCGGCAGAGCGTGTACTTGGGCATAGCGCAAAGGAATCGGAGAGAGCGATGCTGGAGAGCAGGCACGTGCACACATAGAGATCAAAGGGGGCTTGAGCACCTGCCCTTTTTATTCCTGGAGAGAAAGTGCCCTTT